TTTCGAAGATTTTAAACGTGTGCTTCCATCAAACAACCAAAATTCATATTTATATGTGTGCATATATGTATATATATACATAGTCATTTTAATATTTATGTTGATGTTGTGAAATACTTTAGACAAATCATTATGATTAAAAATAGAAATTTCAATTGATTTATTTTGCTTTATTTTTGATTTGTATGATAAATTCGTATATAATTCTATTATGCCTAGTAAATAAATTAAGATATTTTTGTTGCTTAATTAACTTTGAAGACGTATCAACTATTGAAATGTTATGTCTATAAATAATGTATATATATTTGTATTTATATAAAAATTTATTATCAATTATATATACATATGTACATATGTGTATTCATATTCCTATTGATATTTGATTTCATATTTGCATGTTTGTGTTGAAAAATCTAATACTTCTACCCGGCCTAGAGACAGATAGCTACAAATTGCATCACTTGTCAAAGTTCACAAATTTCAATTAACAAAGTATGATTGCAAAATAAGTTCAAATCCTAATTATTATGTAGAAATTTTGATGTACGATTCCTTAGGCAATAACTGAGTTTTTAGTAAGAGAAAACATGGTGTAATGGCAACGAGCTTAGCTCTCAAGGTCGACGTACTTCAGATTCATCTGCGACTCCATAAGATTCGAGTGCTGCCTCAACGTGTGGTTGTTTAGATTGCCAACGCTCTGGTAGGACTTGTCGCAGTAGGGGCAGGCGTAGGGCTTTTCGCCGGTGTGCACCAGGTGGTGAGAGTTCAGGTGGCCCCGCGTGAAGAAGGCCTTGTTGCACTTATCACACTTGTAGGGTCGCTTGGACATGTCCGGATCGTGGGAGCGCATATGGGTGCGCAGATCCGATTTGGTGGGCCACGTCTTGCCGCACACGGTGCAGTCGAAGATGCGCGGCTTCGTTTCGCCCGTGTGCATGCGGGCATGCGAGATCAGTTGTGTGCGCAGCACAAACCGTCGATCGCACAGCTCGCAGACAAACGGCCGCTCGGTGGAGTGCAGCGAAGTGAAATGATAGCGCAGGCTGTGCCGCGACGCGAAGCTCTTCGCGCACACCTCGCACTTGTAGCGCAGCCCATCGCCCAGCCCATGCACCGATATCATATGCAGCTTCAGTTGAAAGTTACGCGTGAACTTCTTCTCGCACTCAGTGCACGGACATAGCGACTTTGGCGTCCTACTGCGTTCCCCTTTCGCGCTGTCCCCTGCTGTGGCCGCTGCCTTGCGAGGCGCCCTCTTTCGCTTGGGCGGCACTACTAGTTCTGCCTTGCAATTCTGTTCCTCTTTCGCTTCCTCGGATTCTCTTTCTTCTTCTTGGGCGGGCTTCAATGGCTCCAGGTGACCTGGCAAATGGATGGGCGTGTTTAGGGTGGCAGCGTCCCAGGTGGAAATGGTTGTGTTCAGCTGCTCCTGATTATCGCGAAATAAATCAGACAGATCTAGCGAACCTACAGGGTAAGAAAAACATCATATATAGATATGGATAGATATTTAATATTACATATAATATTTTGCTTATACTATAGGATACGAAGTTTGTCATTTAAATTATCGAACCGTCTGAAGATTGGCTAAGTCTTTATATGTACAGTCTTACCAGGGATCGCAGGCTCAATATTATCTGACCCACTAATAATGACGGTTTCAGTGGTTTTACTTCTTCGTTTTCCCCCAAAATGAGAGATACATGTGAACTGCATACAGAATATGGGCATATATTAGTTTAGAGTTTTAACAGGGGCCAGCAGGAAGAACTTGGTTGAGAGGCCTAACAATTGAATTTAAATTATACATAAACAGATCACTATAGACCTACGGTACTTCGCAGGTCTTCTTAGTTCTTTTATATAGAAAAGATATAGAGATCAAAACAATAATCCTGAAAAGGGATTCGCGCCCGAAAATAAATCTGCCAGATTTATTAAGATGCTCAGTCTGTCATCCTTAACAGAATATATTAATATCTTTTGAAGGTTTATACGACTTGTTTTAGGACTTCTTGAACAGCGAAAATCTGTTTTACTCTAATAAGAACTTAATATAATTAAATATATTTGCATTTATATATTAAATAAATAACTTATTTATTTTAGAATGCTAAATCAAATCTTTAATATATTTAATATAATTTTGCTTTTGACATAGGAATAAAGTCAAAGAACAAATTTCTAATCTGGTAATTGAAACTAATTATAATTAGTTTTTTTGGGTCTCTATCGCTCACTCTCCTTCTCTTTCTCTTTAAATGACGTAACTGTGCAATAGAATATACTAAATACAGCTTCCTGATAAGCTGATTGCAATCAATCAATGCCTTTCGAATTGGATTTCATTAAAATGTGGATTTCATAGCAACCTAATTGAGAAATGTGTATACAAATCTTAGTTTGTATACAGATATGAACTACAAAGTAAGTAAGGCAGTTGCTGGCATTAGTAAATGTACTAAAGTTTAAAGTTTAAACGTGAATTGCGTTTAGTTCAAGCGGATGTTGCCTTGATCATGGGCAACGGGTGCAGATTATCGCTAGATAAGGTTTTATCAACATTAATTCTATTTTCGACACGTTTATGATTTATTTAATTAATTTGATGTGCTTATCAATTATTCAGTTCACTTACCAAAGTCAACCGGCTCCGGCAGCGATGACACAGACATAGGCATGGACATGGACGTGGACATGGATGTGGACATGGGCGAGGACATGGACATTGACATGGACTTAGCCTTCTCCAGGCATCCAACCTCCCGTTCGAGGCACTCGAGAGCATCGTCCAAGGCCTGTTCGTTCCGGGCGCGTAGAATGCGCTCCGATTCCTCGCAGCGCTGACGAAAGTCAAGAGCGTCATGGAGTCGATGCAGGCAGAGCTGGCAGATGACATCGCTGGGCACGATCTGCAGAGTGGGGGACAGCGTGAGCAGCTGGCTGAGCAGTTGATCATTGTCGCCAATGCTGTGGCACTGCTCCGGCTGTTCCACCAGGCAGCAACGGCACACCACGAAGACCGAATGATTCAGCAGCGGGAACATAATGCTAATACCTTGAACTACGTCCGTCCGCTCAGCTGGACCGTTGATGGACGTCTGTGCTTTGAGCGTGTTCAATGACAACGATCGACGATCTCGACCGAAGACTGAGAAGTACTGATGCTAATGCCGCTGCTAATGTGGATGTCGATGCCGATGCTGATGCCGAAGTCAATGACGATGCTGATGCCGATGCCGATGCCGTTGCTGTTGCTGTTGCCGTTGCCGGCTGAGGGCGCACTGATAGCCCTTGACATGGATCGCCCGCCCTGCGATAAGAGTCCCGAGACTGTCTGTCAATGTTTGCTAATTTACAATCAGCGCTTACTAATTGATTATTGAGATCTGAATTCGGAATCGGGTATCTATGGTAACTGCACCCTCAGCGAGTACTTCAGTCGGCGTGTAACCGTCTACCTTATCGCCATGGCACCTCAGTGCTGATGAACTTCTTATCGCACAGTAATTTTTCCCATTTTGGTGGTCGCATCTTTGTATCTTTCAACGGACGCGAACCAAAAATAAATCAGCCTCTTGTCGCCCTTATCGCTTGGCTGTGTCGATCTTTGTACTGAGCGGGTTTCCCGTTCTCTCCACATGACAACTTTTATTTAATTGTTGTTGCTCTCGAAAAAGGGGATGCTCGAAGTGAATATATGACGATCGTGTTTGTTTTTTAAATTTGTTTGTGAGCGAGCTTAGGTATTACTTGCCCTTACACAGGCCCACACTGCAGCGCAGCCCAAGCACAGTCGCTGCTTACTGCGCAGCTAGCATAGCTAACTAATCCTATATTACCACAGATCGTAAATAAAACATAAATTTAAAATTATTTTAGCACACATATGCCAAACTAATTTGTTTATAATGAATGGAAATGGATCTTATAACTCTGCATTAGCACTATAATTGGTTCGTTTTCAAAACATATATATATATATATATATACGAATATATATATATATATATATATA